ATGTCTCACACACACAAACATCATGTCTCACACACACAAACACATCATGTCTCACACACACAAACATCATGTCTCACACACACAAACACATCATGTCTCACAAACATCATGTCTCACACACACAAACACATCATGTCTCACACACACAAACACATCATGTCTCACACACAAACTCACACACAAACACACAGACTCACACAGAAAAGCAGCTGGCGGGGCTCACCCCCCACCATCGCCCCCACCCCTCCCAGTGTTTGTCCCATTCACTGCCACATCATCACTTTGTGTATGATTATACTTTTAAATCTCTCATATTAAACATGCAACTCACAAGTAGCACATTTATATGCTAATGCGGCAGCTATATTCTGTGGGAGAGATGAGATTTAACCTCTAAAACATCTTCCAGAACTCCTCTGCCGTCAACAAAGCTACAGATGCATTTTGAGGACGCACTGAAGGGATTTCTTCGATCCTTTGCTGTACGAGCTGCCATTATCCAGACGACAGCTCACCGGGTCTGACCGAGCAAAGCCAGAACCGTACACACGACTGCAGCACGGCAAAGCTGCTACAACAGAGGACATCAGTCGTACTGCAGCAGGAGCAGATAAAAGACCTCAGAATTAGAGCCTCGTGTTAAAGGCCATCACATTCAGAGTCATAAWGAGGCGCGACCTCACCAGGCAAGAACTACCAGGTTTAAACTGCATCTAGACATGAAAAACTGAAATCAGAAATCCAGAGAGRTATGCATCTTTGCCTGTTGGTTCCACAGAAAACTGTTTTTTTAAATCCAGCTAAATGAGCTGCTCTTATTCCGTCGCACACAAACATCAATTTCCAGAACAAAGACGAGTAATTATACCGTGCACCACCTGCCCAACAACAAACAGACAGAATTAGCTTCTTTATGGTAAAAATACTCAAGCATTGATTGAGCTCGGTGCTGATTATCAGAAGGTGAATAAACGCAGAGAGCGCTGCTGATTGAAACGTTGCATCGTCTTTGTGCTTATCTTTAGTTTGACCCCRTTCATTTTGAGTTTGGAGGGTTTTGGGCTGTTTTACAGAGCAACTGCACAATGAAATGTAGTTTTTTTAGTTGGAAAATGGCCTTAAAAAGTTTTTTTATTAATATTGTAATTCATAAAAAGAAGAAATAGTTACCAGTAACTACATTTATCATTGGTATTTACCGATGGGTTCTGACTGCAGGCAGAGAGAAATATCCTCTCAGAATAAGTAAATAATGTAATTTAGTCTCATTTTTGTAACAATTTTCTTGAAAATGACATCTAAATGACAGCAGGTTGCTTTAAAATCTTCATTGTACGATCAATCTACAATAACAGATCTTTAAATCRCTTTTATTGCAATAAAACAGAATTAGAATTATCTTTATTGTCACTGCATGGAGCTGTAGGAAGAAGGTCCTGGGTTTGATCTCAGGATTAGACCAGGTGTGAAGTTTGAATGTTTTCCTTGTGTTTTTTTTACAGGTACTCTGGTTTCCTCCCACAGACAAAAGAAAATCAATGATCTGAGATCTCAGTGTACGAAAGAGGATTAGAGCCACTGAGGACAAAAAAAAAGAATTCTGACTTTAATCTCAAATTTCTGACTTTTTTTTTCTTAGAATTAGGAAAAAGTCAGAATTCAGAAAAACAAAACAAAAAAAAAGATAAAAAAAATTTTCCACAGTGGCCCTAATCCTCTTTCAAATCAATGAGATTTGCCTGGTTAAATATAGGTTAATAAATAAATAAAACTACAATAAAACTGGAAGAGCTTTCCTACTTCGATGTATCTGCAACATCTTAATTACTACAAAATTCTGATTGCTAAACAGCAATACACAAGGCAATTTAAAGAACAGACAAAATAAAAAAAGTAATTACAGGAGTTTACAGTTCTGATCTCTCAGGTATAAAAACTGTTTTCAGTCTATTCATCTTATTTTCAGGCGTCTGAAGGTCAAAACGACACTGTTCCTGTGTTAGAAAAGGTCAAAGCATATCTTCCTCACTCTGCTGAGACCTGGGAATCTGCTAAAGTTTATAGTTATGTACGTCATTAGAGGTTTTAAACATCTACCCTGAAAATACTCCCATTCTTTGTACTTCAGCTGAAAACGAGCTGAATGGATTWAGCACAAATTTATGTTTTCAATAACCATTTCCCATTGTATTTCAGTGTTTTTACCGTTTTTTGTTTTCTGTGCTTGCAATGATGCCCCAAGCTCATTGAAAGATTTGCTCCAGAGCCTATGTATCATGAATGAGAAGACCGCTTTACAATGTGAACGTAACCAGGAATCACTGCATCATAGCACGCACACTCAAGGTAACAAGTTAAATTGCCAGGCAGACAGAATATTTCATGAAATCATGATGACTCACAGGGTAGTATATTCTGTTTTTGAAAAAAAAAAGTCCAATTGCCTTCCAATTTCACTAAAGTAGGCAGTCTCATATTTTGCTCAATTTTCCCCTTCACCCATGAGGCAAGGACTGCTGAACTGGCAGATGTAGAAAGGAATCCTCTGCTATATTTGTGCACATATAAATGAGAGGCTAGCATGGAGTACTGAAGCAGCATCTGACACGTAAACTGAGGATTAAACGTCAGTAAATTCAAGATTTGGCAACTAAAATAAGCAACAATCATAACAACGTGTTATATTCACTTTCTCTTC